TATATATATATATATATATATATATATATATATATATATATATATATGAAGGCATTTTAAACCCCTCACACACTCTTGCAATATTCTAAACAATGTTTCTAAGCTAAACGCTCTAAAAGAGCACAGATGTCATGATTTCAGCTCCCTGCCTCCGCTGCTCTCAGCCACCTGCAAGCGCTCGGCCACACCCACTTCTATGCTCTGCAAGGAGAACAGCTGATCAGCTGCAGTAGGAAGTTTATCCTGCAGTATGGGTTGCATAAATGTGCAGCAGGTGCTAAATAATTTATAATAATTTATTTTAAATAAAAAGTCCATGCCGATCGCGCAGCTTATCCATCAATCAGACAGTTGTGTGGTGTTCAATCCTATTTTGAAAAACCAAGATAGAGCGAGTCCGCAATATATGAACCGCGAAGTAGCAAGGGACTACTGTAGACCATAACTAGAGACAGGACCAGAACCCAGACGATGAAGCCACAAAGGATGAGCTTTACCTAGTGGCTGAGTCAGGTATATATTTTAAGTCTGGTTCCACCATGTAACCAAATGGGACATTTCCAGACTAAAATATAAAAACTCACCTTTTGATATTTTGTATGTTTAGTTCAATTGAGTTTTGAGATTTAAAAAAAGTGTTGCTACACTATGATTAACAATGTGACAGCCTGTTAGCGAGAAGAGAGGGTGTGCAGGTGGTACTTTTGCACTGAGGGTACAGCCCTCTCTAGCATGCGGCTGCTGGCTCCAAAAATACTACATGGCATCGCCCCTAACAAACCATTTGACTTTACTTTTGACAGAGGAGGTCAATGAAGTCAACTTGTCCATTTTTCTTAATGTCTGAGGTTCAAATTAACTGTTCGCTAATTTATTCAATCAGAATCAAACGCTGTTTCTCCATACAGAGGTTGTACAAAATATTATCTACAACAAGCATGATATTAGTTGTTCATAAGCAGAACCCCTCTTGAAAAGATCTGAACTATCACTTTAAACTCACAAGGCAGCAGTAAACAGTTTGAAGCATATCTCAGGTTTATTTAAGATGTTTTTCTTCTGCAGCCTCCAGGAGCTCCTGACCACCCAGTGCGACAGGTTCAGCGCTGAGGAGGTGAGCTCGAGTTTCGTTTCTTTAATCTCAGTCATGTTCTGTGTGCACCCTCACTTGTTCTAGACTGTAAGATCTCTCTGTGATTCCACCACCCCCCCAGATGAAAAACCTGTGGGCTGCCTTCCCCCCTGATGTGGCTGGCAATGTGGACTACAAGAACATCTGCTACGTCATCACACACGGAGAGGACAAGGAGGAGTAAATCCTCCTCTCCTGAGATC